CAACTGCGTGAAACACACAGTAGTATGAAACTTCAACTGCGTGAAACACACAGTAGTATGAAACTTCAACTGCGTGAAATACACAGCAGTATGAAAATTCGGCTGCGTGAAACACACAAACTTCACGTATGCGTGGAGTGTATGGAATGTACGGGAGTGATTCACGCAATGGTGCGCATAGTCACGGCCTATAGAAAAATGCAAAAATTATAGTATAGTAAAGTTGATTCAGCAGCTTCACGAGATCGTAGCGCCAAAATCTTAATCTTAAAGTATAGAATTGTGGAATCATCCACAATAGCCAAGTGGGTGACTCGCTAGCGTGCTAGTTTGTCATGTGGGCGACCGGGGTTCGATTCCCCGTGGATTCGCGATTTTTCGGAATTGGCTAACCACAGTGGCGAAATCGGTCAACGCGCCAGTGTCAACAGTGAATCACAAAACCATTAAACGCATATAAACCATGTCTAAAGAAGGTTAGACGGAGTAACAGTAACACCGAGCCACGGTTGAGCCATACGTTGTAAATCTGGAGTTCTCGGTTCAAATCCGAGCTGTGGTAATTTTTTTCGGTTAAATAAATTATAATTTTTTTTATCGTTATTTTACATCGCTTCGACCCGGTTACGGTATACTGCGATGATGATCAAGACTTTAAATGGTTAGATTTCCCCATTCTACCCGGCCGGGTTCTGAACTCGGAACCTTTCGCACGTGAGGCAACAAACTTGCCCACTGCGCCAAGCCACCGGGATTAAATTATGAATAATAGTTTTAGAATGACAACAAGTACACTAACACCTATCAATGTAACACTAATTAAATTAATCAAAATTAGTCAATTCATTTTGATAAAAATCTAGAAACCAATTGTTTCTTTCTGAAGAAAGAGATTAATTATTATTGAGTCGCGGAAATATAAGCGTGTTTCACCAATAAATTAATAAAAGTGAGGGTAATTGAGGGGACTCAGAGGTCTACGTTGTATCAATGCAGGTCACGAGTACCTTAACGGTCGTATTTTTAATATTGGAGCGATGTATATCGGGAACATTTTTGTTGTTAAATCTCTTTGTTGCTGTGGCAATCAAATCCATCAACTGATGGGAATGTTGGTACGGACTTTCATTTTCAGTAAAACATTTTAGACATTCTTTGCAAGAAAGTTTAAGTTCTTATAATATTTTTACTGATAACTCTTCTGGTCGTTTTTCTATGAATTCCATTCTGGGCAAGTCATCATCGACAATGTCAGGATGTTGAGGATAGTGTGAGTTTCAGTGGGAGTATTCATGGTGGTGAAAAATTCCTGCAGGTCTAGCAGCTTTTTGCCGTCGATTTTGCCATCTTCACAGTTGGCTTCTGGAGTATGTGGTGGAGTACGTTTCGACACGAAGATTCGTTTGTACGCTGATTCAAAATGCAGGCAAATGGGATCACTGTTGTCTCCACATTTATTACGTGTTGACCCAAAAATATTTTTTCCGTCCCGGCGGGCGCAAAGTTACATTTCCCTCCCGCTNAAAAATGTCGTATAGAAAGAAGAAATGTCATCGATTTTTTCTATAAAATAATCTATATTGCACATGTTCCATAAAAAGCCACAACGAAGCTGTGGAATTCTTCAATAGAATCGGCCAAAAGCGAATAAAAATCTTCAATAGAAATCCAATTAATTTTTCTACCGAATCCGCTAGGCTTTTCTATTATTTCTTTTCATGCGTGATAGAGATCACAAAAAGTATTTACAAGACTAAAAACATCGAATAGTATTGGTTTTTTGACAGCTGATTGAGGTTATGTGCACTTAAGTGCAATTGTTGTAAAAGAATGTTTAGGATGTTTGTACCCGATTGGAGAATGATATGAATGCCAACTCACTTGATTCTTGACGTTTATCAACAAATGAGTGGTGCAAACACCACCGAGATACACCCAAACAACACAAATTCCAAAAACTTCGTTGATCTTCATTGTTGCATGTTCACTCGTCGATCGTTTTCGCTTTCACTTCGTTTAGATGGAAAAAAAATTGAGATCGAAGTACCTCATAAATTCGTGGAGTGACTGGGTGAGTGGGAAAATGATCACATAAAAAAGTACATTTGTATTTACAGGAATTTATCACTACTTAAAAGAATAACGGGTTCATGGAATCGAACGCTGTAGATGAGGTTGAAGTAGTCACTAGGAACTCCCTAGCTGCACCTAGGAGGACGGTGGCGGCAATTTGAAAATAAATTTTATGTCCTCAGGACCGTAAAATCACGATTCTAACATCAATTCCCTCAGTTAAATCGTGGTTTCCGGGCCCAGAGACATAAGATATTGTACGTCACACGGCGATAAAACAATTTTCTGACTCACGTGATTTAAATCCTCGCCTTCGACTCGGATTATAAAGCCACACTGAGAGAAAAACACGTTGTCAAACAAGTCTTGTTTGGGCCAACAAAATCGCTAGTTGAAAATTGCCAAAAACGAATTTGTTTGGTTCGAATTTAAAGTCTCAAACATGAATAATTGTTCTGCTTTCGACAACAACGAAATATTTGGCTCAAGATGCGAATAATTCACACCAGACG